TATATATATATATTATACACACACACAAAGAAAAACAAGTAGATAGAATAGAAAAAAATAGAAAGCTAGTGTTTTTTTTGTTTTATAAAAATAAATAATAATAAATAAAAAATAAAAAAGAAGATAAATATAGATAAAGTAGAATTAAAATAGAATAGACAGTGTTAGAGTTAGAGGGTCAAATAAAGGTGGAACAGATGTATTTTTAGTCGTTTCTTGATGATGGTTAACCAATATTGTGGTATTTGATTTGTAATACACAATTTAATCCATAGAGAGCAGCATTTAGGCACTTACAGACATAAGCTAAAGTGGTTTAATGATCTGATAGTCAAAGTACATTTTAACAATGAATATCAGCAGAAATGCTTACAAGGTTACAAGGCTTATGCCAATACTGTTGTCAGAATACATTGTGAAATCCACATATTTCATGAAGGTGATAGAGAGGAATTGCATATTTTAGTTTTTAGGACAGGAGCGGTGTTCTCAGTAGAATTTGTGGAATGCTGGTGGGCTTACCCCTGTTTGAGCTTTGTTGGGTCAACACATCTATAACACATTCCAGGTGCCTGACCACACAATCCATGACTTCAATCCAGCGTGAGGCTCGATCCCCTAAAACCGGGAACACGGTTTACAACTGCACATCAAAAACAGAGAATAACAGAGTGGGAAAGAGAGAGTCTCTCTCTTTCTCATATCATTTTCATTTTCTCTGTAACACTGGAAATGTGTAATAGCTACTTGTAATTTAACAAATAACATTATGGTTATCATGAAGTAAACTGGCTATTAATAAATGTCCAAGCTAATGTTTGTGTGTAAGAAAATGTGTGGCGTGTACAGGTATAGGCCTACCCTACATTTTGGGGGTAATGTGTTTTAGATTAATTATTAATTATGTTATGATTATAATGTGATATGTTATAATTATTCATAATAATTATTACCATTATATAGTAGTAATGTCTATATGGGTTGGAAGTTTATGTGAATAAATATTGTATTATATATTCAAATATATTAATGTAATACAAATTTACCATTAAAAAAAAAACCTGACAAATACGCAGTAGAGGATATCAGGACTACAATCCCCTGAATTCCGGTCTGCATGACGCATTTCCTCTAGTCCGAATGTAATACAAATTTACCATTAAAAAAAAACCTGACAAATACACAGTAGAGGATATCAGGACTACAATCCCCTGAATTCCGGTCTGCATGACGCATTTCCTCTAGTCCCACCTTTAGTAATCGTCTGGGCTCGGTAAATTCCGTAAATCGAGAAGGGATTTACTCCAAAGAGGCAGGACAAGACCGTAGTTTACTCTGCATCGAGCGGCTGAGAGCTTGCAATGAAACTGCGGTAAACAAACTCACCGGTAAGATCCAGAGTGCTCAGGTTTCGGTGTTTTGTGAATTGTGCACAGAAATATCCGCGATCCTTGTGTGTTTTAATGTGTTATGTATTAATACGGCAAAACCGATCTCACATGAAGTGTTGCATGGATTGGGATTTAGAGGTGCGTGGAAATGAGCAGTGTGTGCTGGACAGAGACGTGCATAGAGTCTTTATATCTCATCTGACACGATACACACGCTTCACCAGTTGCTAATGAGGAGAATTAATACACGCGCACAATAATCGATGGGAACGTTGGGGGTAGCGTTATCTGCATTGTAATTGGTAAGTTGAACTACTTGAACGTTTGTCTCTGAAATGCGGAAAGACGGATGATGACTGATATTTGCATTAAGACAAATATTCGTGTTCGGTGGTTTGTGTAAGCTCTCGTTTTTCACGAGAAAGAGGAGGGGCTATGGATGAAATAAAAATGGTTACATACATTTTATTTTTTATTTTTTTATGTTCCAAACTTGGCAACTCCTACGTTGTCTATCTGAAGATGTGATGCTTAACTTCAAAACTTTGCCATTGATCAGTTCATTTTAAAATAGTGGACACTTTATAAATAGCGGAATTTTGTATATTTTCCTTTTTTAGAGCAGAAGTGAACTTCTTTAGAAGAATTCATTCGCAGTGTGTTTAAATCGCAACAATAAGCACATAGACTCGAGGACTCAATCCTAATTGAATGTATTCCAGGCATTTCTCTTTCAGTCCGCATTACTGTAACCATTCCATTCCCGCCAATTTAAATACTCTGACATTGTTTAAGTCTTTAAATCACTCTTAAAACAGCTACCCACATTCAGCCGCAGCAGTGGGGTGAAATGCTTTTGTGACGGTCCAGACACATGGAGCCCATGCTGACGTCACACCCCTCTGTGTCATCACATTTAAACATCCCCTCAGAGCTTTCTACATTTATACTTGTGGATTCTCCATTGTTCTTCGGATGTTTTGTTTGTCTTTGATTACATTACTCGCCTTATTACCTAATTTACTTGCTATTCATTCATTTGTTAAATTGCTATTCATTCATTTGTTAGATTGCGTATGTTTTCAAACAGTTTATCAAGCATAAGCCTATATGTTTGTTGGAAACAAAATCAAGCTGTAGGGGAGATACCTTAGGTTTGGAGTAAAGGTTTTGATTACACAAATATGTTAGTCTTGTATGTTGGCTTCAAGCAATACTCCTTCAATGCTGTAATTTTATGCCATGTAGAAACTACAGTTTCTTTCTTTTTCTTTTCTTTTCTTTTGACCAAAACATTGTTCATGAGATGTTTTTTACTGCTTAAATTTAGCTGAAAATCCTATTAAAAGTTCTATTTTGGCAGGTTTCCATTGTGACGATGTACCCCATATAGTGTTACCACATGTCTCAACATTATGCTACTTTTGTATTTTTATGCTTTGTTATTCTCTTGGCCATTTAACAACTGAAAAATGACCTTATGACAAGGAGATGTCACGCAAAGATGAGTGTCCTTTTTTGGTGTTCTGAGGTTTTTTCATTAATTTCCATTGACATAATGGATAAAAGTGTGTTATTTATGAGAGCTTCTTTGCATAGATTAATCATCTGTTTTGTAACTTTTCTGAAGGTTTGCTACTGTACATTGTCCTTTTGCATTGGCAATTCTGTTCAGCTTCATATTGTTTATCAGGGTCAAGAAACTGTATTTTTAGATTTTTGTTTTAGTGGTAGTCAGGCAAAGAAGGTTTCTCCTCTTTTACATCAGGGCTCATGTATCCAGCACATTCTAAAGGGTTTTAAGCACTTTTCTGAGATAGTGTAACTCATCCTCCTCGCTCTACTTCTATGCGCTTGTAATCTCTCTTTGAGACACATGGTATTGCAGGACTGTGTGTTTTATTTGTGTTGTTTTACCTTTTATTAGCACTGTAGACCTACTTTGCTTTTAAAGTCCATCTCACAGTATTCAGTGTTTGACGTGAAGGAGACAGACAGGTCTGCTTACTGTGTATGGGCTGATGGACTGCTGATGCTGATGAATCCAGTAGCTTAGGAAAAGGCATCAAGTGGAGTATACTGTCTGCGGTCCTTTTGACAAACTGCAGCTGCTTTTTATCACAGCTGTCAATTTTATTGGTAGCTGGCCCATGGGTCATACCTTATTGGCAAGGCTCCTGTTTTTCAGCATAAGTGTACACTGTATTGGTGAACAAGCTCATTGACTTGCTGCTAGCAACTCATCACTTGGTGCTGTCTTCACTCCAACAATGTCCCACATGTTCTTTGTTAAAATACAATTTTCTTTTGCAAGGCAAAAAAACAAGGTGAGTGTGAATGTGAATTTTCTCCACACCAAACGTGACTGTAAATAAAGAAAAGGGGTTCCTTAATGATATGGATCAGTTGGTTTCTATGGGGAGAATTAGACATATGTCATATCAGACCAGTGAGTAAAGTGTGCTCTTTTATAATGGAACCTTAAACAGTCCATTTATTTGTTCTCTTTTCTTTAAATTATGAATGGTCCCTTATCATGAAAAATCCTTTTTGTTTATTTTGCCAGGCACTTGGTGTTCAGATAAGCCTGCTAATTCTGTGAACAGTATTGCATGAGAAATGAGGTCTGTCTGCTAATCATACCCTTCGTTATATTGATGTTGACCAAGATATATGTCAGCCCACAAAGCTTATGAATGTGCATGTTTGCTTTGATTTTAGAAGAATGTTTTTCATGGCTAATTGCCACTCATTGTACTAAACACTTAAACCATTTAAAAGTAATATTGTAAAATAGCATTACAATTTAAAATAACTTTTGTTTTGTGATATATTTTATAATGTAATTTATTCCTGTGATAGGAAAGGTGAATTGTCAGCAGCCATTACTCCAGTTTTCAGCATCACATGATCTTTCAGAAATCATTCACATATGCTGATTTGATGCTCAAGAAACACTTATTATTACTAATGTTGAAAACAGTTGTGCTGATTAATATTTTTGTGAAAACTGTGATACTGATTTTTAGGATTCTCATCTTACATGAGTTTTAGGGTTCATTGATAAATAGTTCAAAAGAACAGTATTTGCAAGTCGAAGCTGAATTTTCAGCATGATTACTCCAGTCTTCAGTGTCACATGATCTTTCAGAAATCATTCACATATGCTGATTTGATGCTCAAGAAACACTTCTTATTATTACTAATGTTGAAAACAGTTGTGCTGATTAATATTTTTGTGAAAACTGTGATACTGATTTTTAGGATTCTCATCTTACATGAGTTTTAGGGTTCATTGATAAATAGTTCAAAAGAACAGTATTTGCTTGAAAAAGAAATCTTTTATAACATTATAAATGTCTTTACTGTCACATTTGATCAATGTAATGCATTCTTGTTGTAATGAAAAACTATACATTTCTTTAAAAAAATAAATAATAAATCTTATTAGCCCCAAACTTTTGAACTGCAGTGTATGTATCAGGCGTATTTCAATAAGTGCATATACGATATGCCTTGGTAACTTTGGACCACCTGCAGTCTTGGTATTTTGAAGTGCTTTTTTGTTTGTTTATTGTTAAACAGGAACAGGAATGGTAGCAGGTGTACAGATGTATGTGAGTGCATACTCGTGCATTCAAATGAGTCCTCCTAGCACACCTGCCATGTTCTGCACAAATCTAGTTCCATCTTGGACAAATGCAGAAGTTTCCATTCTACATTCCAGAGAACTACTAGAAAGAAACCTTTTTTGAGTCAATGTAAATGTAAATATTTTCACAAAATTTGAATTTCTTAGCGTTCCACATTATTACACAAATGTATGAAGTTACGATTAGATCTTTCACAAGCCCTTATGTCATATCAAACCTGTTTGATTTTCTTTCTTACATTTTACACAGGATAAGAAAGCTTAGCAGAATGTTCCCACTAAAGCCAGGGCTGTCAAGCTCCAAAAAAGACAAAAAATGCTTTTTAGTATTTATTTGTCTGTATGACAAGTCTTCTGAACAGAGTGCAGCTAATCCACTGAAAATCCTCTCCTGTCCACAAGGTTTTTTTTTTATTATTTAAACATTTGAACATTCTGCTTAACTCAGTGTTGTACGGCAGCAATAAAGTCATTCAGCTTTGGAACAACATGAGAGAGTAAATATGACAGCATTTTAATTTTGAGTGAACTATTACCTGAACACTTAATATTCACACAGAAAGTTGAGGTGGCAGTCTGACTGCAGTGCCTCTTCAAATGCAGCGGTTATAATTAGCAGGGGTGTTGTTGGGTATGTGGGTGTCACATCCTTTAGCTCCAGTCAGTTCTGAGCATGGCTGCCAACAGCAACTGATAAAACACTACACCTGTCATCATTCTCTCTTTTTGAACTCTGCATTCCTTGTTTTGCCACACTCCTATATCTGCACCTTCAACTTGAGTGACAATGCCTAACTGTTTAGTTTGGCTTCATAAGTTTGTTTAGGTCGTGATACACCTCACCAAAACCCTCTACATTAAGAATCTTGGTTATCTTTTATAAGAACCGATTACAATAGACATTTTTGCCTATAGCTCAAATTTGTGTCCGTCAACTTTTATCAGCAAACATTTTCCCAAAAATGAAAATGATCATTTATTAACCCTAAAATTACTCCAAACCTGTATGACTTTTGTTTCTTCTGTGGAACACAAAATAAGATATTGATATGCACCACAGAAGAAAATAAGGCTTCTCATGAAGGTGAATAAATGATGACAGAATTTTAATTTGACTTGGCTATCCCTTTATTGACAGGTTGCTTAAACAATTTATCTCTCGTTTCATGCATTTCATGCTTTATTGTGATTACCAGAATCAATTGACAAACTTGTGGTGGTTTGCTGCAAACTATTTTATCAGTACCTCATATTAGCTGTCATAAATTATTTTAGTTCTTGACTTTTGACTTGGGTTGAAATACACTACCGTTCAGACATTTGGGGTCAGTCAGTCAGTTATTTTATTTTTTTTTGTATATATATATATATAGAGAAATTAATCCTTTTACTCAGCATGCATCCAATTATCAAAACTGACAGTGAAGACATTTATAATGTTGCAAAAGAAAAAATATATTTAAAATAAATGCTGTTATTTTGAACTTTCTAATCATCAACAAATCATGAAAAAAACCTTGACAACTGTACAGCCATATTCAACATAATAAGAAATGTTTCTTCAGCATCAAATTCTGTATGATCCTAAGACTGAAGTAATGTTTGCTGAAAATGGAGCTTTGCCATTACAGGAATAAATTTAATTTGAAT